AAAAAAAAAAAGAAATTAAAAAAAAAATCACCTATATAATTTTTGACTAAGAAAAATAATTTCTATTTTTAGAATAGAAGACGAAAGCAGTGTATTGGGTAAGAAATTTTTCAGGACTCATTAAACATGGCCTAATTTCTATATGCATAATTATTTATTTAAACACTACCTAATTTCATGTTCTTAATTTAAACAATTAAACATGGCCATGATCCAATTTATTGTCGAACATGTATATTACGTTGGCCCCGACACGAACATATAACAAATTCATACCAAAATAAATAAAATAATTTCTTTACATGTAATGGAATTATCTTTTGGTCGGGCATAACATGCACGTATATACTACCTCTTATTCTTTTTAAATGTCATTTTGACTTTATCACTATTAATAAAATAAATGTTATTTTGAACACATCTTTCCATTACCCTCATTTAGCTAATAAATATAGTACTGTCTTTTCATATTCACTCTTTATCTTTTTTTTTTCTTTTTTTTTTCAAAATATTCATCTCTATCTTCATTAAATAGGGTTATTATGGGCAAAAAAATATTCTTAATTATTGTGCAACTTCTCAAAACGACAATTATTATGACTAGGAGATAATAATTGTTAATTATATATATAAATATGTATAAAAAAATCAATTTGAAAAAAGGGATTAACAAGTGAAAGTGCAAATCTTGTGGAAGATAACGTGCATATAATTTCTACACACGTAGAGCTCATTCATTCATATAGTGAGAGTGCAAATAATGTATATGGTGCCTTGATTACATGTTTCTGAAATTGGTGGAGCAATATATATCACGAAAACGATTTCCACTATATGTAAAAAGATTCTAAAGTCGTGCTTCTAGGCCGAGTTTGTGTCCATTTTTTGCCTATTCAACTTTATACCAAAAAATCAGCACAAATTATTAAACAAATGATGGCTTTAATCAGATTTTATCAGACAATCCTACCAACATTTTCTCCATGATCGATAGAAAATCGGTCGCAGATCGATGAGTCAAGCGGCTCGCAAGGCGCTTACGAGTTCTCGAGTCAAATCGCGACTCGAACTCGAGTTTGACTGACCTCGAGCTTTCATTATGTAAACTCGATTGCTCGACAAATTACTCAAGTACGAAGTCAATATTTGAGTCAATTCCAGACCGATCTCAAGCATTTGTAAAATATTATCACGTTGAGGCTGAACGAGCTTCAATCGTCGAGCTCGAGCACCAAATGAAAAGATCAGATCAGATTTTATCAAACAATTAATCCTGTCAACATTTTCTCCGTGACAGATAAAACTCGGTCACAGAAGAGGCAAGCTACTAGCGAGGCACTCACGAGCTGTCGAGTCAAATCTTGACTCGAACTCGAGTTTGACTGAACTCGAGCTTTCATTCATTTTGTAAGCTCGATTGTTCAATAAATCACTCAAGTGTATAGTCGAAATTTCAGTCAATTCCATACCGATCTCAAACATGTGTACAATATTATCATGTTGATCAGGCTGAACGAGCTTCAATCGTCGAGCTTGAGCTCCAAATGAAAAAAAATCGAGCTCGACTAGATAAGAACATAGTTCGACCCGACTCAGACTTGTTTGCAGCATTAGAAAGCTCTATATGATGGCAATCTCAATTTTGCTATAAAGTACACAATATAGGATTAATTTATAATATAACTCCAATACTACCATAATAACAACAAATTAAGTGTCCCAATCTTTAGGAATGTGGAGGATTACAAGATTATAAGGACGGACACGTGGACGATGTCTACATCTAGTAAAGCACTAAATGTAGGTAAAGGCCAAAAGCAATTGGTTAAAGATTTTATGCATGTAGACGGTGAAGATAAGAAGGTATTTGTGGTGCTTAATTTGCTATTTCAAAAGTAATGGTTTTACTTAGGCTATTTGTCTATGTCTCAAATTAGCCATTTTATATATTTTATTTTTCTTTCTTATTGTTTTTTTTTTTT